TGTGTGTGTGTGTGAGAGTGTGTGTGTGAGAGTGTGAGAGTGAGAGAGTGAGTGAGTGAGTGAGTGAGAGAGTTTGTGTGTGTGTGTGTGTGTGTGAGAGAGTGTGTGTGTGTGTGTGTATCAGTACAGCAGCCTGACGTCTCCTCCTGTCCTCCAGAGGTTTGTGGAACGTTCCCTACATCACTCAGGTCTATCTGATCCGCGGAGAGACCCTGCGCTCGCGTCTGGCCCCCGTTTCTCTCTACCAGCAGGAGGGCATGGATCCAGACATGATCTTCTGCAAGAGCGTGCGCGAGCAGGTGAGCGTGCTTTACAAATAAATTCTGTTTCTGCATCAGTCAGCCAGTGACATTATAAATATTGAAACTACGGCATGAATATTATAGGGCCCTTTGATTTATGCGATGCGGGAAACGTGGAACGGAATCTCAGAATCCAGTCAATTTATGGATTGTCATGGAATTTGGGTAAAATTTGGATAAAGAAATTAAAAGTAGGGCTCATATCACAATATGGACAAGTGTCTATGAATATTCGGTTTAGCTCAAAGAAATTATGACATCAGAAATCCAGAAAAAAATGAAAACATGCAACACAATATTTCTGAAAAATGAAAACATTTTATAGGGCATTTTATAATAATAAATTATTAAATTGGGGAAGTTACATGAATTCAAGTGTTTAAAGAGAAAACAAAACACCAAACTTTAGGTTTATTCCTCTCTATATTCTGAAGGTTTCTTCATATTTCATTCACACTGATTTATACAACATTTTACTCCTGAAACATAGCGAAAATGTGTGTCTGTTGACAGTATTTTCTGATTTATGGAGCGATAAAAAGAGAAATCCAGAATCCCCTCTATAAGAATCTTTAACTCTAATATGAGACAAAATCTGATATGAATTATGAATCTGGATTCAGATTTCTGCTCTGTAAATCTATGCAAATTTGTGCATATTTATTTAGACAATTCTTTTAGATTTCAGAACATTTGTAGTACAAAAAAAGTGTTTGCAGTTCTTGCTGTAATCAATCAGCTGGGGAAGTAGAGTGATACTGATCAGGTAATATATGACTCGATTCACCTGAAGTGTCTGTCTTTACACTGTGTGAGTGAGGACAGGTGCTAGATCGAGTCAGTTACACATGCTCGTGTTTGTGTTTGTGTGTCTCGTCCTGCAGGGCGTCTTCATGTTCGTGTCCAACAGGGATGAGTTCGGCCGTCTGATCTCCTCCACCAATTACAACATCAGCCGTCTTCATCCGGACATGTGGCAGATATTCGACAACCCAGTGGTGAGAGATTCACACGTGAAGCACACGAGTGCAGAGACACGCATGCGAGCGCAGACTAACCCTGTGTGTGTGTGTGTCTCTGTGTGTGTGTGTGTGTCCAACAGGGATGAGTTCGGCCGTCTGATCTCCTCCACCAATTACAACATCAGCCGTCTTCATCCGGACATGTGGCAGATATTCGACAACCCAGTGGTGAGAGATTCACACGTGAAGCACACGAGTGCAGAGACACGCATGCGAGCGCAGACTAACCCTGTGTGTGTGTGTGTCTCTGTGTGTGTGTGTCTCTGTGTGTGTCTCTGTGTGTGTCT